TTGATTTGTCGGATTTCTCTCTAGTAAGCAAGCTAACGAGATCATGAAGGGTTGTGTCTGTGCTTACAGACAAAGCCGTTACAGCGTTCATGAGAGAATTTCTATGTTCTTTGGAAGTACTTAGGAGTTCTCAAATGTTAACATTCGCCTTGGATTGGTGAAGTTGTTTGACCAATGGATCATCCACCTCAAGTGGAGGTGGTATTGGATTTTGACCTTGAGTTTGATTTTGTGTGGTTTAAGATCCATTTGGTGGTGGTACTTGGTAGACTCGCCCAGAACGAGTTAAATGATCCATCTCATTTGGGTTAGTCGTAGGACTCATAAACCAACTTTCTTCTAGAAGCTTTGGATGTGCCTCTATTTCAAGATGTTCCATGAGTTATGCTTGATGCCATTGTTCATCCAAGGAGAGATTCGATAAATCTTAGGATTTCCCCAAGAAATGATCCCAATCAAGCGCTCCATTTGTTTCATTTTGTAAACAAGATGGAGGTGGGACGGCGTCATACTTAGAGACATATAAGTCTTGAAAGTTGTCGTCCCATAGTCCACATACTTCATTAGTTTCTCCTATGAGTATTGTGGATAGAGGTTCTCCTATAGGTGTGATATAGTCCAAAGGATTGAATATATCACTTCCCATATGGTCCTCATCGATGTGAAATGCCCCTAAGGGGGATGCATTATTGTTAGGTTTAGGCGTGGGAATTCTCCCATCGTCTACTAAATCTTGTATTTTATGCTTTACAACATAGCAACGTTCAATATCATGTCCAACGCCTCTATGATAAGCACAATAAGCACTACAATTCCATTGAGGAAATCTCCTTTCTGGTGGAGTGGGTGGTGTTGGCCCTGTTTGCGCAAGTAAGCCTTTTCATTTAATTTTTCTAACAATTCTTTATAGCAGGAAATGGAGTAAATTTTCTTACTTTTGTCCATCTTTTTCTAGGATCATCATATCGATTTGTGTTATTGTATTGCGTGGAAGTCACAAATACGTCAATAAAGGATGATGCATTATCATTCCTCTTCTTGTAGTTATTCTTAGGATGATGATAATGAGGTTTGTTTGCTTTTTCTTTAGCAAGATCATCTTCAATCCTAGTAGCCACAGAATAGACCTTTTGAAAAGTGTCTAGACCAAAGTAACGTAGATGTTTGTTGTACTTTTCATGACAGTTGTCAATGAATTTTTGTACTAACTCGAGTTCAGGAGGCCTTTAGGCAAGGTGGACCGCCTTTTCTCTCCATCTACCATAGAAAGCAAGGAAACCTTCATCGTCGCCTTGCTTAAGCATCTCGAGCTCACGTAAAGTTGACTTGAACTCTACGTTACTCTCATATTGGGTAATGAAAGACGAAACTACATTTTCCCATGTTGCTTTGAATTTTGGATCTAGCCCATAATACCACTCTCTAGCGGTTGGGTCTAGGGATAAAGGGAAAGTCAAAGAATAAAGCTTAGGATCAACTCCCTTTAGTGCCATAGTGCCAGTAAAACACATTAAATGATTTTGTGAATTATTGGTCACCTTAAATATTGGCAAGTCCGTAGCTACGAACTTATCCGGTAAAGCAAGTCTTGAAGGAGGAGCAAACTTTTCTGCGTCAAAGTACTTGTTCCCCATTGTAGAACGAAGAACTAGCTTCTCCAAAGACTTTTCTTTGATGGATAATTGTTCCATCTTTTCTTGTAAGGCTAAAGTTTCAGCTTTTTTCTTTTTAGCATTTTCCATTTTCTTTATTCTTCTCTCCCCGTCCTCTTGAGCCTTTTCCTCTCTCGAACGAAGAATCTCTTGTTGAAGTTCTTCTATGGTTGGCATTGTTGTTGGACTAGGATTAGTTGTCGAAGAAAAGTGGTTTGAAAGGGGTTGATCTTTGGGTAGTAAACGTAGAATGCGAGTACCCGGGGATCCTCTTTCCCAAGCTTGAAAACCAGCCTTAAAGGAGTACGAAAGGATAAGTAAATTGATACGCTTGTTTAAAAAGGAAAAAAGAAAAAGACGCAAAATATATTCAGACGGATAACATCGCCCTTAACAATTCTTCAATGAAGATATTGTTCGGACGAGTCAATTTGTTTTTTGAGAAATCAAAACTGACTCGTCCAGTGGGCGCGCGCAAGTGACTCAATTGCTCGCGGCTGTCGCGTGCAACGAAATCACTTGCGCTGGGAGGGGTCGCGCAACTCATTGAGTTGCGCGCGCCAACTGCTCATAATTTGTTTTTTAATTCGAGCGTTTTTTTTGTCATCATTTTTTATTCGATTTTTTTTATTTGATTTTTTTTTATGTTATCCTTTGAATACGACGCTAAATCACGAAGAGACAACTTCGTAATTGGGAACCTAGACCAAAATAAAAAGACAAAAAAAGAAGACTATCCTAACACGTTACACATAGTCACATAATCACATAAGCATGCCATAAGTCAAGATTCACGCAATGTTGTTCTAAGGTCAAAAAAGGCTTGGGTGTCCAAAGGTAACATATCTTAAGAAACGATACACAAATCAATCACTCAACGTGTTGATTCATAACATCGCCCTCCTAACATTTTGTTGGTGATATGGGTGGGATGATTGTTATTGATTTTGGGATAGACGCCTAGTGTTGGCGACCCCTAGTCAATGAGCCAATCCCCAATGATTTAAGTGTGCTATGCTTATGCATGATGCAATGTTGCTTGTTTGGTTTTACTCTTGTAAAAAATTAAAGGAAGATATTGTGCGTTCAAGACTCGCTCTCTATCTAGAGATTATCCAAGTTAATTCTCGTTACAACCCATAGGCAACCTAGTGTTGGATACCTTGGACCATAACTACGAATTAATCATGTAACCTCTAAGTCCCCAGTGGAGTCGCCACTGTAAGGAGGGTGATCCCATCATAAGGGGTACTCTCCTTAAATTCCCTTGGCCACTTAAAAGCCTAGGACTTTACACTTGTTAGGGTGTAGTATGATTTGAATTCCTAACTGTTTAGGGGACCTTGAATTAGAGTTGATTCTATCATTATGCTTTTTTAAGAAACAAGTAGGAGTCGCCAATGAGTTTTAGGAAAAACTCATAAACCTCGTTCATGCCTTTCTTCCATGTGGAATTCATGGAATAATTAGCATAAATCATAAGTTTACCCATGCCCAAATTGGTCTATAAACCAGAAATGAGTTCGGGAGCGAGGGTACTAAAATAACGTTCCTTTTAGAGGGGAATCGTTATCCTAGCCCTAGTACGACCTCTACTAGATCTTCCTTTTTTACAATTTCATCACCAAGCAATATATGCAACGCGATACCTAAAACTATGTTATTTGATTTTATTTACAAGCATTAATTCACGTAGGAATTACGTCGTAATGTCAAATTCTTATTTAGTTAAATTCGTGAAAAGGACAAGAAAATAAACAAGATTCGCCTTGGCTTAAGTGATCAACCAACAATTATTTAATTCAATTCTAATCTTTATTTAACGTAAGATACTATGTGGAATTGATTAATTAATTATTTTAACGGTGATCAAACAACACTAATTAATTAATTAAAATCCTTTTAAACAAGAAAATAAGGGTGATTTGACTAAGTGCTCGGGAATTTACCACTTCTCTTTGCTAGATCTCCGTTTAGAACACTTATGGACTCCTTCTTGTTGGGGAACCTCCACCGTAGTAACAAGATATCGAAAGGGTGAGTGTTTAGGACAAGAGGGATAGGTTGCACAAGTTCACAAGTTATTTCGCCAGAGTTTTAGGTTAATTTCTGTCTGTTTAAGCCTCTGTTTAAGCTCGTATTTATAGGGAATGATTAGGTTTAGGGTTTTGAGCATTCTGCCGCAGCACTTGTCGCGCGCAACAGAATGAGTTGCGCGCGGCATCCCAGCTCAAGTGATTTGGTTGCGCTGCTAAGGGCAACGCAACTAATTGACTTGCGCACAACTTTATGTTAAGATTTGATTTTATATTTTCCGTATAATTCAGAATCTTCTGTAGCGCAACTCTGGGGGTTGTGCTGGGTGTCGCGCGCAACTGAATTAGTTGCGCGTGGCAGCCCAACGCGACTTTTTGAGATGCGCGCGGCTTTTTCTGCGGCAGCACTAAGATTTAATCTAGGCGCTCCTAAATCCGTCATTATTAGGGTTTAAGCACGAGCTTAAGCCTAATTATGATCGGGTTTAGTTAATTGGACCTTTGTTTTGGCTTTTTCTTTAATTTGGGCTAGTCTTTTGTGTTTTGTGGATTAACCAGTTATCCATAAGCATTCTTCACTTTGATCCAACACGAAGATGGTTTTACTTATCGTCATTGCACTTCCTGTCGGGACAGGAGGCTAAAAGTAGATGTCTACAACTCCAAAGAAGCCCGAAGGGCCACGTCAAAAGAAATCTGCGATGTTTCAAAAAGACGAGGAGGACAAGTGCGCATGGCAAAGTAGAGTTTTGAAACCCAGTACACGCACGAAGAAGCAACAACTCGCATTGGGGATCATCGAGCTTATTATTATTATTATTATTATTATTATTATTATTATTATTATTATTATTATTATTATTATTATTATTATTATTATTATTGTATAGGGTAGTTCCTGTTGAACTATCTCTCGTTCTCATCCCCTCTACCGATGACGCACCTCGAGTACTATTTTGAACCTGTTTAGTCGGTCACAAGCTCCACGGTGCCATCCCGGCCATGGTGAGTCAACTCTAGGCTCCCGAGTGCCAGCCCGACTAGGGTGAGTCGGCTCCAGGCTCCCGGCTGCCAGTCCGCCCAGAGTAAGTTGGTCACTGGCTCTCGGCTGCCAGCATGACCAGAGTAAGTCGGCCACAGACTGATCATTGAAAATAGGGCTATCATACACTTTAAATACCCCTGCATATGCCACATAAAGGGGGTTAATCTCTCCCCCCCTCTCTCTCTCTCTTTCTCTCTCTCTCTCTCTCTCTAAGCATATTAAGCTTTATACTCTCCCAAGAGTAGGGATGACAGTGGGTCGAGTTAAATGGGAGACCCGCCCCATCCCCGCCCAAGTGGGGCGGGAATGGAGGGAGGTTTGGCCGGTGATGGGGCGGGGATGGGTATAAAATGTGTACCCGCCATGGGTGATGGGGCGGGTATGGATTTTAGAGTAGACCCACCCCATATCCGCCCCGCCCCGTACCCATCTTATACCCGCACCATATTTCTTTTAGAAAAGATTAGAATTTATGTCATTGATGTGATACAATAAGCTTGAATAATTAAAGTCCCAATTTTCTTAACCTAATTTAATATAATTGTCATTGACGTGATACAATATAGCATCATGGCAATGGGTTTGGGACGATTTTGGGGCGGGTATGAATATCCAAGTGGGTGATGGGGCGGGGATGGATCCTATCTTGTACCCGGTGGGGCGGGTATGGATGTGGATATTGTACCCGCCACGGGTGGTGGGGCGGGATGGATGTAAGATTTTTAGGCGGGTATGGGTATGGAGGTACCGTCATCCGCATCCGACCCGCCCCATTGCCATCCCTACCCAAAAGACGAACACTTACTTAGCCATCAGAGGGGGGTTCCTCGAAACCACCCCCGAGGGTAGTTTACGTTGTCTCTCTTAAAAGTCCTCCAGCTTACTACTACTACTGCTGCTGCTACTGCTACTGTTGCTACTGCTATCACTACTACTACTACTACTATTACTACCATTGCTACCGCTGCTACTACTGCTGGTACCACTGCTGCTCCTGTTACTACTCCTGCTCCTGCTCTTGCTACTACTACTACTAGTAGTAGCAGCAGCAGTATTGGCAGTAGTAGTAGTAGTAGCACTACTACTACTACTAATATTATCGCATTATTATTATAATCATTAAATATTATTCTTAAATATTAATTATTATAATAATAATAATTATTTATTATTTTTATTATTATTAAAAATTATTATTATTATTATTATTATTAAAAATTAATAATTGCTATTATCTTTAAATATTAATTTTTATTATAAAAAATCAATTTATTATTATTATTATTATATCATTATTGCTTCAGATGAAGAGTCCGTAGTATATTATTATAGATTATAGATTTTATTTAAATGATGTTATGGATATTACTCTTTTTTTTTTTTAATATCAAATTATGCGATTTTTGCCCCTAATAAACATTACTTGAACAAGTACTATATTTCCATGGGCTAATACCATAGCGTGGAATGGCTTTACTCCGATTCATCTCCATCAACACTCGGTATCATCATCATCAATTCCAGATTCTGCAGAAACCACTTACATTCTCTTCTTCTTCACAAACCCATCAACCTTACAATACAATTTCTCTCTCCTTCACTTACAACTTCCTCACCCTTCGCTCTTCTTCTTCTTCTTCTTCCTCTTCAATGGAGTCTCCTCCCGAGGGTTACAGAAGAAATGTCGGTATTTGTCTCATCAACCCCTCTAAAAAGGTCTCTTCTTTATTTCCCTTTTATTTATTAATTTATTATCATGTTACTTTTTTGTTGATTTAATCTTTATTTGCAGATTTTTGCTGCTTCTAGGCTTGATATTCCTGATTCTTGGCAAATGCCTCAGGTAATTTCAGCTTTTTATTCTTTGATTAGCTTGGTTCAATTGTTTGTTAATTGCGTTATTTTTTTTGTTGAAGTTGAAGGAGTTGAGTTGATTTTTCTATTTAATTTGCATGTTTTGAAAACAAATTTAGAAAATTCAATTATTTCAGTTTTTAAGGATAATGTCAGAGCTTTCTGAAGCACTATAAATGCCCTGCTAAACAGTCCGTATAAAATTTTAGGTCCCTAAAAAAATTTCAATTATTTTCTTGTAATAAAACTTCAAATTTACCATGAAAAAATTGTGTTTAAACAAGGCCAAGTATAAACTAGGCACATTATTACCCAATATTTCAATTGCTTTGAACTTTTAGTTGAATACAAGTATGCAGCTCATTGTATAGATACAGTCACAAGTATAGGTTATTAATATCCATGAATTTTATAAACAAATTTGCTGCGTAAAGTGCTTGCAATTACTAAATTTTAAAAGGGGATGAACTGGAAACAAAGAGAAAATACTCATACCCAATTGCTATTATTTTTGATTTAAAATGGTAAAAGAAAAGCAATACAAACACTAAAAACTTCATAGAAAACAAAAGTCGAAGAAAAGTTCCAAGGCAGTCATGTGAGAAAAGGAGTGAAGAGTAATAAAAAAAAAAATGGATAGAGCAACTATTCAAACCCAAGACTAAAACACACCTAGCCACTCATCATAATATGATCACTCACCTTATCGCTACTTTTTTTGTACATAACATTACTAAATCAAAGGATTTGAAGGCCCCGTTATCTTTGTATCTTGATAGCTGTAGGATACTATAATGTTTGGATTTTGTAATATAATTTAAGAGAACATCTCTTTAGTGAGGAAGTGGTGGTGCTTTCACATTTGATGCGTTAATAGGTTTAAGGTTTTGTATAGTCATTCAAGCGCTTGGAAGTTACTTTCACATTATTCATTAATCATTTCTCTATTGGTAATATTCAAGGAGTGTGAAGGAGAATGCATCGTTTTTTGGGGATCCATGAAGGATTCTTTGAAAAGCTACGGATAAGTAATCTTATTTAGAAATCGAACATACTTGGGTTGCTCTTGTAAAGTATGGCCAATATCCGTAAACCTTGCCAAATTTGGTTGAATTTACTCTGAATGTAACTTTTCTTCTTTAGCAAGTAGAAAAGGGTAGAGGAGTAACATTTTAGTATCCTTTGATTGTCCTTGTAGATTGTGAATTGCATGTCATACTCCTACATTTTAGTATCCTTTGACTGTCCTTGTAGATTGTGAATTGCATGTCATACTCCTATTACAATCTTATGAATGATGGATGGTGTATCTTAGAACTTTCATTTTCAGAGGTAGTAAAGGGACCCTCTTGATTGTTTGTTGGGGGTAGCTTATTAAGACATTAAGTTGATGAGAATCTTTGATATGGCTGTTATACTTTCATGATAGGAGAGTGTATTCCTTGTACTACCAGCTTGTGAAAATGCCAAATTCACAATCCTTCCCTTTTTTTTTTTGTGTCTTTATTTTGAATGTTGAGGTTTTCAAGTGTGTGAAAGCTTTTCTCTAGGTTGCTAGATTTCTACTCACATGAGGAGACATGGAATCATTTGTTTTTGCATTGTCGTGTGATGATGTTTCTTTATGATAGGTTATCTGCATGTGAAATTGTGAATCATAGAATCACTCTGATCTATGTGGTTTGGTAGGCCTATTATGTTGGTGCTTTGGTTGGGTAGGAATAATTGGTTTTACCATGGTTGCGAGTTTTCTTTAGTTGCTTTATGTGAGCAAGTGCCAAATGATGTATTACCTTCTCTTTAGGTTGTTTATTAAAATATGTTTTCTTATCTCAATAATTAAAAAAATAAAAAATAAACAAAGAAAAAAATGGGGTTGATTATTGATTTTTAAGATTCCATGCACCTTAGGTTGTCTCCAAATGATAGTATAATTCTATTATCTCTCTCTTTGTCTAGCAGAAACCCATTTCTGGATGTGTTGATTATTGTGTTAAGCACAGGGCTGATGCTGTTGTGTTTGCAGGGTGGCATAGATGAAGGTGAAGATCCCCGAGATGCAGCCATCAGGGAGCTTAGGGAAGAGACTGGAGTAACTTCAGTGGAAGTCCTTGGAGAGGTTAGAATTCTAATTTGTTTTACTTAAGCTAAGTGTAGATGATGCTTTTAAATATTTTTTATATTTGTGTAGTGTGTCATGTCATTTGTTGACTACTCTTTCCATAGAAGTAGGGGCTTGATACAAGGGAATTTTGGAAGCAATTTAGGCTCCGTTTGTTTTAACGGATAACAAATTTTGGGAAAATGATTCTCCATGGAAAATAATTTCGAAGGGAAAACACATCTGTAAAAAAAGATTTCTTTTGTTTGTTTCCCTACAAGAAAACTTATACAGGAAGGGGAATAGGAGTGGAAGGGAGAAGAGAGAGGAGAGGTAAGGGATGTAAAGAGTAGGGAGGTGGCATACTTTCCTTTAGAAGGAAAACATTTTCTGCTCATGGGAGAATTATATTCTACCTTTGGGAAAATTGTTTTCCATTTCTTTACCTACCAAACAATGGAAGATGAGAACTAAGAAAATGTTTTCCGTCAAAACAAACGGAGGGCTTAATGGCTCTCTGAATTTTGTGATGGCTCCTAGGTTTTGTGTGTACTTAATGTCTATTAATAACATATGAAGTGATAGACAGGATAGATCAAGAGAGCATATAAAAGATACATGATATCTATTTTGGTGTAAGTATATAAAAGATACATGATATCTATTTTGGTGCAAGTATAGGGGTAAGTAAATGCTCTAAATACAACGTTTCTACTCAATGCTAATGATGCTTATATATCCCATCTATCTTTATATTCATAGGCCTATCATGTATATGTGCCTCTATCCAAGCTCAACTTTTTTGATTATATATTTCAGGCTTATTGATGTAGCTTTTGTTTGCATTTGTAAAGGCTTATTTTTTGCACTGAAGGCTTTTGGCCTTTATCTAAATTCCTAGGCATGACCAGCTATCATCTAATTCATATCTTAAATGCTTATAAGGCCAAACAATTTGAATTTAAGTTTTTGTTTCACTTTCATGGATTTACAGCTTTGATCTGTTCTCGAGTATATTACTTTTTACAGATTTTGGTTGCAAACCCTGGTTTTGCAATGTTTTTTTCGCAAATTGGCAAACCCTAGTATGCTGAATTGGAATCTTTTAAGCATAACTGGCTAAGTCTAATGCAAAGTATTTCATATATACACTTTAACTTTGTTTTATTAAAACAGGTTCCCTATTGGCTGACTTATGATTTCCCTCCAGATGTAAGGGAGAAACTCAGGCATCAATGGGGATCAGACTGGAAGGGTCAAGCCCAAAAGTGGTGAGTGCTGACCTTAATATGCCATTTTGTCGTTTTGCTGTCATTCTGGTGCTCATCATTTGTTGGATTCACCTTTAGGGTTGTGAATAAGGTTGTTGGGAGTGGCTAGAAAATAGTGTTGATATTTAGATGTTTGTCATGATTTCTCTTTGGGGTATTTTCTTTAATGAGTTTTAATCCAATAAATTAAGGGTTATGATCCACATCCATTTTTTGTCTTTTCGTTCATAACTTCATATTACCCTTTGGTTCTCTCTTTTCAATTCTCTTATCCATTGTCTTGGTGACACTTAGCTTGTTAACTAGGTAAGTAGGTACTAGGTAGTGAAAATTTTGTATTATGCAGTTATAATTTTTAGCTGTTGCTCAACAAAGCAAATATTAAGTAGCTGTTGCTGAACTAGTTGTTTCAAAAAAAAAAAGCAACTAGTAAGTAGCAAAGCTACTCCCTCCGTTTCATAATTAGAAGCCTATTTTCTAAATTTTCACGGAAATTAAGGAAGTTGATTGGAAGTACAAATACCGCATGTGGGGTTAGAGAGAGATAGAGGAAAAAAAAGTGGTTGAGAATTATTGAAGAGTTGGAGAGAGAAAGTGGTGGGAATTGATGTCAAAAGTACAAAAACAAATAAAAAAGGATGACAACTCATCAAAAAGAAGGTTTCATTGTCAAAAAGTACTATCTATAAATAGAAATAGGCTTCTAATTTGAACACCCAAAAAAGGAAAACAAACTTCTAATTATGAAACGGAGGAAGTACTATTAAGTAGCAAAGCTATATAAGGTTTTTTTCATTTGGTGGTTAACATATTTTAAAAAGGTTCTTTTGCTCCTATCACCAATTATCAGAAGTTTATGTTACTAGACAATATAGTTGCATTTTAAAGGGTCAATTGACCAGATTAGTAAATAAAAAAGACCTTTAACGACAATTTGGTAAAAAAAATGACTCCGGCGACAATTTGGTAAAAAAAGTTAACCCTACGCGACAATTTGGTAAATAAAATTATCTCAGACGACATTTAACCCAAAAATACAAAAATTTCTGATAAGTTACTCACGATTACTTAATTTAGTTCGTTTTTTGTGCTTTTTTTTTTATCAACCTTTTT